CTAAATTAAGTATAACGAGGTACGCACACAGCATTGAAAACTACAATTACGTAATACCGGGGCGTCTAAGAGCTATTTATTAGCTTAAACAAACATATGGGAATATTTAATGTTTGGTACGATAAAAGATAAGTTCTTGTACCATATCGAGGTTTTACTTTTTGAAATTATCATGAATTCTCGGGAAAAAGACAGACACAATGTGTACTAGCTTCTGTCAAGGGTAAATGCAAATTTTCCACATTCCTAGGCCTGTATATTATGAATTATCACAAACCTCTAGATAACACACGGTACGTTTGTTATGTGCCGTCAAAAATACCGGTAACCAATTAAGTCTCCAGTTCTTTTAACGAAAAGTAAGTGCTGAATAAAACTGCATCGAGAATGAAGGATTGCTAGAGAAGCCTGGCAATCTTCAACGGTGAGATAAGCCAGCAATATAATGTTTTCTTGAACCAGCCCGTAATACTATGAACAGTGGCCAAAACTTGGCTGCAACAGTGGGATTACAACGAACGATGAAATTAAAATGCATGCACATTCGTGCCCAAATCCTGCTCTGTAAATAAGCTGAACTTAGGATCCCTGCCAGGTTCTACTAGATGTAATCGCCATAAGGGTACCAAGATGGTCCACGGAGGTAAAAGATCAAAAAATTACTTTCGCGTCTTTTATTTGTTCCGAAAAGATAGAGCCGAGCGTTAAGATGAAGTATGTTTACCTATGTTACACATGGCCTGCTCTTGTCAGACGAAACTGAACAGCTTGAATGCAATAAAGAGGCCATTTGGCTCACTATTAGAACGCTGGGATCATAAACTAATGAAATACTGGCGTTTAGTCGTCCACCGTCGAGCGGCCTACAGTTGGACACAAGTCTGATAGATTAAGGGGTAGCATTTGCTATGCCAACCGATGTCATGGTTACGGGCGTGTTTAGCGCTCAAAATATCGACTGGAATTTGAGTGCTGCGCCCGGTTCAGAAGTAACTTTTGAACGACAACTCCCATGCACCATAAAAACAGTATTTTTAACACAACACGTCTTACCTCCGACTAGACTACGTGAAGGCGAACAAGCTATTTGCTTGGACATTGTACTGATAAAAGGGCCGACAGCATAGATGTCATAAATTGTTCACCTAGTTTCGGCAAAAGTGGCAACTTAGAACTATAGAGGGAGAATTCACTGATTTCTGTTCCTGGTTGGAACACGACATTCAAATGAAACATATGGCGCGAAGATCTTACTCAAATCAAAACCAAAGTGCACGGGATAGACTGAAACGGAAGATTCACCGGGTGCATTGCCGCGGATTGGTCGGCATTTTAAGCCGTATTACGACGGTTAATTTGTACTCGGTTTAGCGGTGAATGCTTTGGGTGAATGTTTTTAAGCCGACAACGTAGTGGGTAAGTAAATGTATGATGTACTGAGGATGAATTACTTGAAGTCAAAAAAATCGTTGACCAATTCCGTTTCCTTTCGTTCACTCACACGCAAACTTCTAGATAAAAGAAGCAGTATTTCAGACTGGACATAACGTACATTTTTAACACTTTTCAAATTCATTTCAGAAGACTAGCCCGTACATCAGTCTCTGGCGTTGTATAACATTAAATGCCTTCGTAAAAGCAATATAGACTGCGCACAATGCATTTAGTCCATTAATTTAATTCTGGGACAATTATTTTCAAGATGTAGTTGTTTACCACTGAGAAAGTGGTCAAAAAGACTTTTTACAAATTAACTACGTGGTTTTATTGTGCATATCGTGGAGATAGAAATCATTCAAATCATTCAGTTAACACAATTAAATTATCCAAATGTGCCAAGCCGCACCTTCTTGCGTGACTTGACTTGAGATGGAGAATTAGTTGAAAAAATTACACGTTCGTTTCCCTAAATTTGTTGTACCTCTAACACTCAAGGACTTCCGCTTTCTGCATACTTCCTGTTGTGTTCTCTCCTTGGAGGCTCACATGAGGCGTAGTTAAACGGTAAATATTTTGGCTTGGGCTCCGTTACAACAACTTGGCGACGCATTGCGCGGTGATATCTCGGCCTGTGCATCCGTTACATCACGTTGTTTGTTCTATCGATCTCGAGCTCCGCGACCTATTCAAATATTGTGTATGACAGCCAGAATAAGTCTTTGGCGATACACATCCGACCCCTGTCGAAAATAGTCAAAACAGCAGGTTTTCCTGATTTTTTAAAATAAAAATATATGTGATATTAGGTTTTTAATAGGTTTTTATGAAAGGCAATATTACCGCTGTAAAATGAGCTTGCAACAGTCAAATCCAAGCGCATTATAGTTCGCTTGGATTTGATTCTTGTAATTTGATCGTTGCGGTTAAAGTCTTTGTTACCCTGATAATATATTCCTGGATACAACCACAAGCTTACAAGTGTCGCCAAATTTTTCTGCTACCCACTAGATTGTTAGGTTACTCATTGTCTACCTTGATACGTATTAAGGTATTAAGGGGTACCCCCGTAGCGTCCAAACCGTTATAACCATAAATATGTTTGTTGTCGCATCCCACTAGTGATATTTCGAAGCGATCGCCTGGTTAGGCCGGTCGCTTGATGCCAACGGTGAGGAGAAATTGAGGTCAAAGTCTCAGCGCATTTTTTTCCTTACTA